AAATAAAATAATAAAATAAGGTGAAACCTTGGTCTGGGTCATGTCTCCCAGCAGAGCCTCTGCTGAGCTGAATGTGCTTTTATTCAAGGTAACAAAAGCTGGGGGATGCTCCGGAGGTAAAAGCTCAAGTGGAGGCAGGGCGCTGGGGGTTTGACTATGGGGTGAATTCACAGGAGTCTGGCTGAAATCTCTGGGTTTTTTCCACGCTCCTCTCAAGACTTGTGGTGCTGGGTCTTGGTGGGTGAGCAGGTGTGAAGCCCCCACCTCTCCCTGATGCCAACGTGGGGTTCAAAAGAGAAGATTTCTCTTCCCATTAAAACTCAAAAAGCCTCAGCCTCATTGATATTGGCATAAAGTAGGAGCTGTTAATGCAGTTTTTCTTGTGCCGGCCAGAATTTAGCGAAGTTTAGCTGACTTTGCCTTCTCAGAAGGTTTTGTTCTGTTTTTCAAAACAGAGTGATAAATATGCTGGGATTGGTACAAAACAGGCTTTTAGCTGTAGGATGATGGAAGGACCTGTTTCTATAGCACTCTCAAGTGATCCTATTACATTTTTCTCGGAAATTATTCAATTAAGTCCTTCAGAACAGTGTTTTCTGCCATTCGTTGCCACTCTTAAGTTTTGAAATAAGCTCCTTAGAGACGCTTTTATGTTGTTCCCTGGGTATTGGCACCAGGATTTTCTTTCTCAGAGGACAAAATAGGCATCTGAGTGTTTGGGTTTGGGGTCCCAGCAGTGCTTAACTCTAAGGCTGGTATCTGCTGCGACCATCTGAGCTACCTAAAGCCTAAAATTCTTTCCCCCCCCCGCTAAAATGGGAGGAAGTTGGGTTTGGAAGTGAAACTCTTAAGTTTTTTGGTGTCCTAAAAAATAGCAATTGGGATGGAGCCGGCATGTTAAAATTGGATATGAAATGGGTGGGCGAGTGGGGAGTTGGGATTTTGGAGTGTGGTTTTGGGTGTCATGAGGAAGAAGGTGACAACATCGCGCATGAGGCAGAGCAGCCCGAGATTGCTGAAGTTTTCAAAAGCGGCTATTATGGGTACGGCTCTTTCGCTAGAAATACTGGCTTTCCAGTTCGTATCATCCAAACCCCTGATTCTGCAGAGATTCCCCCCCTGATTTCCACTGCTGTAAATCAGAATAAAATCAGCCGCAGGGAAGGCACAGTCAGTGTGCGCAAGAATGTGACATTGGGCAAATAACGTCTTTAAATTCAACCAGCCTGCAAGGGTCTCAGAGTTACCCATTACAGAGTATTCACAGGACACTTTATTTTATTTATTTTTCCCGTATTAGATCTTCTATTCCACTGGGGGTCTGATAGCAAAATCACATCAGGAAGAGAAAAAATGATACCTTATGCTCAGAGGAGTAAAAAGAGCCACAGGTCAAACCTGTCCTGGGGGCAAAAAAAAGCAGGAAGGTGTTTTACCGGAGATCGGCCCTTTGTTTGGCTCAAAGCAAACCAAAGATTGATGGGTTTTAAATCCTTGTTGCCAAAACACCCCTTTTCATGCCCAAAGCTGCACTGGCTCCCTGGTACTGGGAGTTCCAGTTTGTCTAAGACAGGCTGTCAAAGATGTGCATTTTTTAAAATCCGTTTTGTCCATCGAATACTAATCTTAACACGGGCAGGAGCGAGCAATCGGGGCCGTGCCTACAGGAGGAGGGAAAAAAGCTTTAACCAGAGCGTTTTAAAGTCAGCATTGAAGCAGAGTGTGTCTACTTATTTATTTGCTGTCGGAGGAACTTCAATAAGGTTTTTGCAACCTTTTTGCAAGCCGTTTTAGCGGTGCAATGCCTTTGATTCCCCAGTGGCAAAGCAGATAGGGTAACGATACCCCCGTGGGTCTGTTTAAGTAGGTTTAATTAAAGAATTGTTTGTAAAGCACTTGAAGATCCTTGGATGAAAGGAGCTGGAGCGGGGCAAAACACTGATTTAATTCCTGAGAGTTGCTTTAAAAGCTTATGATGAGGAGGCTGGTGATCATTCATGTTGGCGGTGATGGGAGGCCAGCTGGAAATATCTGCTCTCAGCATTTGCAGGGAGGCAGGGGTTGCACTTTGCTTATTATTTGCCTTATAAATCACACATTTTCTCTTCCCGTCTGCATCCTCTACGAAAACCTAAGCCTGCCCACATGAGCTCTGGGGTGTTTTGGGGCTCAGGCCATGGGCACTGATGGAGGTCAGTCACAGTCAGCGAGGGCCCTTCAGGCTGTGCAACAGCCCCAGTGTTATTTGGGGTGTTATATTGATGTACAAGGGCAGAGCTGGGGTTTAGGTGCAGGACCACATCCATCCCACCTGCTCGCCCCTGCCCTGAATTTTATGCCCTTCTCCATAATGCTTGACTGGGTGGCCCCTTTGTCCTGTCCCCAAGGACCCACCACAGCACTGAGACCCCTGATGCTCTGCAGAACCAGGGAGGATGGGGCGAGCGTGGCTCCATCCTTACAGGGTGATGCCCTGGGGAGGTGGGATCCCACCATAACAACCAGCTGAGCTGCTCTGTGCTACAGGGGGGCTCAAGCCCCAAGCACCTTCAGTAGCTACATCTCCAGGTGGTCCAAGCAGTAGCAGGACCAAGCAGGTAGCAAACAACCTACACAAATTCCTCCCTCCCGGCTGCTGAGCTGATGTAGGCAGGGAAAATGCAGGTTGTGAGTCTGAGCATCCCCCTCACCTGCAGTTCTGCTCCCAGCACACCTGTGTGACAGACGGCCACCCTCAGCTCTCCTGAGAGCTGAACACCATGGGAGGGTTTGAACTTTGCAGGAATCCGGGTGGCCCGGTTTGGTCCATTCCCCGTGTGCAGGCATGTGAAATCTCACAAACCCTCCGAAGTGTTTTCATATGCTTCTGCCAACTTCCTCATCGAAAGCCTGTTTACGTGCACGGCTTCTTCCATAACGGGCCACTCTCCACCTAAGGATGTTGTTTCTGAATTCTTACAATGCCTGCCCTTTCCTTCACAGAGAGCTTCTGACCAAATCTTGCTCTTTTTTTTAATCTAAATGATGCACACAGTCATCTGGCATTTGTTGTTCTCCCACAGCCCCCAGGGCTTTGCCGAATAGTCCATGTAACAGAAAGCAGTGCTTTTTGTCTTGGGACTGCCAAGCAAATCCACCAAATCCTTCTCTTGCAGCCTTTGAACCACCTTTGAGCCTGGTTTTGCATGGGGGATCTTGCAGGTCCTACTGCTTGGTGAATTCTGGGGATGCACCACCCATCTCCTCCAAAACCCTTTCCGTGTGCCATTGGCACTCAACCAAAAAAAAAAAACAAACAGTGTTTTTTTTCCCCCTCATTCCTTGAGGAATACGTAGATCCACTTGAAACTGGGTGGAGGCAAGAGGAATGTGCTCTGCCCACTGCTCCAGTTCCGAGGTGCCTAAGCATTGAGGTTAGTCTGTATCCAAAAACATGATACTTTTGAGCTAATCAACCCTGTCCAAGAAAGCAGATAGAGCTGGGGAGAAAAAGATTAACTTCTTTGTCATTGTCCAAAAATCGTATGTGATATGCTATGAACCTGAAGAGCTGAAATGCTGTTTTAAAGGACTGGCTGTGTCCAAGTTTCTCACTTTATTATGCATGTATCTGCTTACACTGTGCGTGTTCTGTGGAGAGACCATGCAGTGAGTGTTCAGGGATGGGGAGATGCTCTCAGTTGGGGTCTCCAGGTCTGCTGCAGTGCAAATAGCAACAACAAAGGGCTGGCGAGAAGGGAGCTGCAATGCAACAACAGCCTTCCATGGCCAGGAGCAACCTCACGGTGCTGCAAGGGGAGAAGATACAAGTCACATATTTAGAGGGCTTTTTCATGACATCTAATAAATTTGGAGCTCGACCCTGTGCGGTGATTCGAGAGGATTTGCTGACTTTGCACCACTCATTTCTACCCCTTTACAACCTGACCACCTGGGGCCATGCTGATGTAGTGGTATTTTTCTTATAGCTAAACTCCCAGGTGATGGGTATCAGCTTCCTCACCTCCTCCCACAGCCAAAAAAGGACAGGTTCCTTCAAGGATGACTTAGCTTGCTTCAAGTTAGCTTGGCTCTGAATTGCAAATAGTGCTAGAAATAGTGAGTGCCTGGGGGAGTCTTGGAAAATGCCAATAGTAAGGTTACTTACTGCCTTCTGGGAGTGCAGAGCTCTGTGTTGTGTTATTTGGGGTGAGACTGCATGCTCATATTGACTTGACTTGAGCCATAGTTTGTCTCAGAGTCAGCCTTCAGTACCAAATATTGATGAAAGCCATTGGGAAACAGCAAATGCCAGAATTCCCCATCAATCCTAAAGAGAAAAAAAAACAAAAAACCCTCTCTCCTTCAAAAGATGGAATGAAATTGCTCCAAAACCCAAAGTCACCAAGATCCTCCATTGATCATTTGCTTATTGGGTCCCAGGTCTTTTCGCTGGAGTTTTTCTCATCATTAAATGTGGCTTCTTTGCAATATTTGCATCTTTGCCGTGCACGTTGCAGGCACCTTTTCTGTCCCGTGAATAACATATGTCTCATGGCTTTTCTTGGCCTAAGGCAGGGGCGGCCCGCACATATGTCTCATGGCTTGCCTGGCCATAGGCCAGGAGCGCTCAGCAGGCGCCAGTGACAAAGTATTGCAAGTAGACAGGGAGAATGCAAACGACTTATTAAAATTAACTCACTGTAGTGCCTCAATGCCCAGTGTATAGAGCAGAAGGGGTAACGAAGGAGAACGAGCCTTTATTTTGGGCGATGGGAATTGAAGGCTGCTGGTGCACCTGCTTTTAGATGTGCGTCCGCAATAAACCAGCTGCGGGAGGGCAACGTGCCAGGTTGAGATTTGGCTTTCCGCATGGCTCCACTTGTGCGTAACATCCAAGGTCCCATGTCTTGGTGTAGTGCAGGGTCTGGGAATGTGTCCCTGGGCTGAGCTGCATTGTGGAGGAAGGGAAAGTTGCAAGTCCTGGTGTTGCCAGATCTTCTGTAGTTGCGGGCGAGTTGATTTGTCCTCCTGCTAAACCCAAGTTGATGCCAGGTAGGTTCAGATACTTAACCAAGGTGTTTAGGGTTGGAGCTGAGTTGTCTCTGAATCCAGTTACTGTTAGTAGAGAGGGGGGTGCATCTTCTGAAGGCAATTTAGATGTGTCTTGGGATGATTTGGCTTCTAGAGATGCTTGTCTCCATACATGCACATCAACACGGTCGTATGTTACAGCAAAAATATCCAGCATTTGCCCCTGGAAACCCTTATGTTGCATAACAGTATCTGTATTTGCTTAAAAAGATCAAAAAAAGAAGTGAGTTTCAAGCTTTGGAAGAACTTCTTGGAGTGGATGAGGTGTACACCCTAAAGGCTGCAAAATGGAAAGACAAATAGGAAGAATGCGGTCCTTTGATTTAAAAAAACAAGTCTGTGTTTGAAGACAGGTGTCTTAGAAATACAGACAGAATCTGTGTTAAAACCTCCTCCAGAATGAAAAAGGTATTTTTTTTGTTTCTGAGTTAGTCCTTTTTAGATGTTGCTTTGAGGTCTGGCTCATATTCTTAGCATCCTTAATAAAAATAGGATTGATCCAGTGGCTTTTTCTCTGTCTTACAAACTGTGTGCAGGGGACTTTGGTCTTATGCCACACAGCTTATGAGGCTGGTGAACGGGAGGAGTAAGATCATTTTGCAGTGGAAGAATAAGGCCTTGGTTATTAATGGCAAAGGCTGAAATTTTCTCTCTCAGCCTTAATTGATTTTAGTAAATCTAACTGGAGGAGGAGGCTTAGAGAAATTGGCTTCGAGTTATTAAGCTGTAGTACTTAAAGATATATTAAATCTATTGTAGAGAAATGAGGAGACAACCTTGTCAGGCATTTATTCTAAGTGACTTCTGTTAGACAGAGGCAAAGAGAAAATGCCAAATTTCTCACTCTGCAGACGAGTTTAGAGAAATTGTGTTTGAGAAGATCCTTCTTTGAAACCTAATAGCAAAGGCCATGGTTTTTTCCCTCCTCCCCGGAGTCTAAAGGCAGGAGAGTGAGATAAGACATTCCACC